GATTTTAAAAATATCGCGTTAACAAATAGGACAATTAAAGATATAAAACAATAATATTGTCTATCTGTTTAAAATTAAGATAACATAGGTGAAATACATATTTAAATGAACGAGCAATGATTTTTGCAAAACACTTTTAAAGGAATCACGAGGACAGACAATTACTTGACATGCAAGGTGAAGTGACATTTTGTCCAATCATAAGTGTAAAAGTAAATAAAATAAACTTTACATGTTCCTTTTAACCACGTGACTCTACTAACAAATTTAATCGTTTTACGAAGGAAGAAGAACATTTCAATAGCCAAATGTTCGATATATAATATGGTTTTCCAGCAGACCTCGGGATTCGTCAAGGAAACCCTTTTTCGCCTTATAATTTTATCCTCTGCCCTTGATGTTCAATATTCATAGAACAAGTGGTGCACTTAAAATGGAAACATCTGCAGAAGATAATAATAGAAAAAACAATCAAAATTGGATCAAAATAGGGTTTTCTTTTTTTTAGTTGGACTCAAGCTTAAGTTAAGAAGAAAATGTTGCAACTATTTTTTAGTTCTTCTTTTTATAGTAAAAATGATTATTCTGGAAATAAGGAACGAGGGAATGATTTGAAATTCTGCACACAGGTTATTCGTTCAGACCTACATCATTTTGTTCACAAGAATCTTAAATTTAGTCCTTTTATGTCAAAAGTCGCCGTTCATTTCCTTTAAAATAAGCTCCGATGACACATGTGCCAAATGGAAAGGGTATAACAATATAGCACTGATTCTAAAAAGTCAAAACTTCGAATTCTCTATGGACAATGTAAATTGAAACTAATTAGTATTCACTTTCATGTAGATCTCACAAAATATACTTTAACCTTATTTTACAATCAAAAGGTTAATTGTGTAAAACAGTTAACGACATGCACTGGCTTATCCTTACTTGATTGAAAGTGACTTATTCACTTGTGGAAAAAACAAAAACATACACAATGCCTGGAAGGGGTAGTGTCACTGAAACATTTTACCTCCAGTGTATAAACAATATGCCCACAGAACCGTTCATAAATGCTTTTTCGGAATGGAATCTGAGGCTGGAAAAGTGTGAAGAGGTCCATGGTGAATATTTTGACGGACTCTTCTAATCATTTTTCACAGGTTTTACTTATTTATAAAACACGATGTCGTTGCCACTAATTAAAATATCTTTATCAAAGTTGAATTACAAGAAATGTATGGTTTAAACATGATAGATAGATATAATTTATTGACGTATACATATTTGTACATAGTCATAATACAAAAAACGTAATACATAAATCATAAATCATAAGTCATGGTGCGATAATATTGAAAACAAACATTGTTAAACAAAAGTATATATAGAGAATGTTCTTAAATCCATATTTTAACCATACAAAGTTGGCATTGCTCTAATTGATACGTTGCAAAAATGACTTTCATATATTTAATATGTAGTGCATCAACTATTCAAAATACATGGTAAATACCATACTGCCTCTTTTAATGAGCACAATTACCATGCACATATTGGTAAAAATAGTTTTTAAATGGTAATATTAATTAGGTCATATCGACGCTTAGTAGCAAAGATGATGTATTTAGCAAGTCCAATTAATTCGGATTTATTTTTTGACTTCAAAAGCTGCAAAAATTTAACATACTCGGCCTTCTGTAAAAATATGGCTTAATGAACTCCCTACGTAATGCAGTATAACAATTGCAAATGATAATAAAATGAAATTCATTCTCAATTTCTTGAAGATTACATAATTCACATTTTCTTTCTGAACGTAGATGTCTATTAGGGCCATACCTCTCTGCCTCTATCTTTAATTTATGAGTAGATAACCTAATACGAGATAAATTTTGTCTGTAGGATTTAATGAATACATTATCAAGATAAAATGCAGGTTCAAATTTGTCAATCAAATGTACATACAGATTAGACAAAAGTGGACTAGATTGAATGTCTGCATTTACCTTTTGTATAAAACAATCAACTAATCTACGATTGAATATTTCAACAAACTCTGTTGGACTGTATTGCAATGGGTTGAGCCATACAACTGTGAATCCATATTCATTTAAAATAGAATGAACCTTAACTGTCCAGGAGATATAACCATTTTCATGAAGACTTATTTATGAATAAAAAGCAGACTTAAAGAAATTATTATTTGAATGAAAAATATGTAACCAGAATCTTATTATTTGAACATATCTTTGAACATAAAGAGAATATCGGCCTAACTCCAAATAAACTGCTGCAGTACATGTACTGTGTTTTACGCCTAACAATGACTTGCAGAATTTAAAGTGAATCGTTTCTATATCCTTAGATTTTGTAAAACCCCATATTGCACAAGAATAATGTAATGTTGAGGCAACAAATGCATCAAAGAGTTGGAGTGAAACGGAAGGGGTCACATCATATTTGTTAATATTGAGAAGTAAAACATTTTGGGCTTTCATAGCTTTTCCTATAGCATACTGATTATGAAGTTGAAAAGACCCCGTATAATTAAAGATTACGCCCAAATAGTTGAAGTTATCAACAATTCTAATAAAGTATTATCGTATGACCATTCATTTTTCATTTTCTCTGATGCTTCCCCTCTTCCTAAAAACCATTGGTTTAGTTTTATCTGTGTTGACCTCTAGGCCCCATTTATCACAATAAAGCTTTAAATTATTTAGATTCGATTGCAATTCTTCAATTGACTTTCCAAATATGACCATATCGTCGGCAAACAGTAAAATAATCATACATATATCATAAAAAGTGAAACCCCTATCGTTATTACCTTAAGTATTGTTCTAGATCTTCCAGAAATAAAGCAAACAAAATCGGTGAATTATTTTGGCTCTGCCTTAGACCAATCGATATACATGTATCAAAAAAGCCTGACAAAGTATCACAGTGCTTAACACAGGAAGACACCAAAGAGTACATATCTCTAAAAATCCTGATCAATTTACCATCTAGTCCAAGATTAAAAAGTTTATACAAAAGAGCAACGATAGATTGAATCGAAAGCTTTTTTAATGTCTATAAACAAAAATAAAGACGTGAATTTTGGGATAGTATTCGTTCCACTTAAGAGTGCAAAACAAAAATTGCATCAACGGTGCTTACACCTGAACGAAAACCGAATTGTGCGTCAGACTGTATATTGTTATCATGCGCCCAATTTTCAACCCGCTTTGTTAATACCTTTGTAAATAATAATTTACCAAAATTGCTAATTAATGTTATACCTCTATAATTATTCGGTACCCTCTTATTTCCCTTTTTATATAATGGTACGATATAACCATAAGACCATACTTTTGGGAAATGACCGGAATCAAATATAGTGTTAAAACAGTCCGTGATATGACCGATTAGTATGTCGGACGTCTCAATTAAAAACTTATTTAATAAATTATCGGCAGGACATGGTGCCTTATTTCGCTTAAGATCTTTAATTGCCGTTAGTATTTCATTAGGCGCGTTCAGGCATTCAAACGATGGGTTATTTATATTCAAGTCTGTTTTAGAGATAAAACTTTTTACACATTCTATACGTGTAGATTTTATATCATTGAACAAACTAGCAAAGTACTCACGAAATTCTTCAGGTTTTACATCGTTTGAACACTTGCCAAGTTTTGACTTAAAATGATTCCAAAATTGCTTTAGTTTAGATTTACGACTTTTTAGTCTTAAACACTCTTTTTCTTGCGCATTTAAAGTTTATAAGAACGTTTACGCTCAAAAGATCATTGCCTGTTATCTTTTGATTTGTTTCCATTTAATGAATTAAGTGCTAAAATATACAGTTTTTTTTTATTCTACATATTCGCGATCAAACCACTCTTTATTACATGATGTAGAATGCATATTGCATGACATCTGCGAATGTTTAAAGTACGGTTCGGCCACTTCTTCAATCAACGAGGAAAACCCTCAACTAAATTATCAATAGAAAGGCTCTCCGATGTACTGTTACTAAGTAGAAGTGCATTAAACTCGGGAAGCTTTGAAATGATATCACGTCTAAAGTTTATCTTGTGATCATCTGACCATTTATAAAATGTGTACTCCGAGGTATTTTCATAATCATTTATATTTTGATCAGATAATTAATATTAATTTCAAAGAAGAGTGGTGCATGGTCACAGTATTCGTTAAACGGTAACAGTTGAAATGTATTAATCCGCTTAAAATCTTTATCATTCAAAACCAAATAGTCAATGGTACTACATGATCGTTGGTTAAAAAATGTGAACGAACTGGTATCACCAATTCTACCGTTAGCTATTCGCAATGATTGTAGACTTACAAAAATCAAGCATACGAAAACCCCGAGCATTGCATACATTACATATATTACACTTTATTGGAATAATAAATAGTGAATTCCTTACAACTCTCATTATCAATTGCAATTAAACCTACTTACTAAATAAGAATAATCAAGGCACTCGAACCGAACCATATATAAAATCTTTATACTAAATAGGAAATGCATTTGTTAAAGTAGAAAGCAGAATTTTAAAGACAATGGTGTGGATAATTTGCCTTTTGCATAAATCATGACAAATTCGCGAATTTCCCTTAATTTGATATATAATTAAAATTTGCTTTGCCTTTAAAACATAAATATGCATATCGTCAGTAACGGGTAAAAATGATGAATTATTAATTAATTATTCGATACGCTGTTGATATAAACTAACAGAGGAGTTTGGCCTGCCTCATACGTAAAATCACGTGATTTGTCTTTACCTGTAGTGCTCGTTTAAAATTTTATTTTTTAATGTTGCACTCTGCTGAAACCGGTGCTAAGGGGCAGGAAAAGTAGCCTGCGCTTACCTATACCGTCCTCGAACAGGTTCAGTAAAACCAAGCCCTTTACATTTTCATTTTTGTTTAAAAGTTGTTTTTTTTCCATTTTATTAGGGCAATATGTCAAATGAACAAGAAACAAGAAAATGTGTATTATTTTTATTTGTTTTTATTTTTATATTTAAGTTGAGCAATTTTATTTAATCGCAAAAAACAACAAATTCATTGTATGTACAAAAATATATATTAGCAGTTTCGTTTAAACTTTTCAAAATTTAATCTATCAATACCGTCACCTTTTTATAGGAAATGTAAAAATCTGAAAAAGTGATACACTGAAAGAAAGTAGAGCATTTGCATTCAGACTAAGAATTCAACTGATACTTATCAGCGTCTATAAAAACTTTACATGAAGTACATATTTCTATAGTCAAAGAAGACGCGTCTTCATATGCAGAATAAATAATAAATAAATAAATTACTTATCCTTACACCAGTGAATAAAGTTTTGATAAGCATTTTAACATAAGACCATATCTTGCATATCACTTTTAATGCACGTTTAACAAAACCAAACCAGCCAAAAAAATTCATATCAATATAATGTAATTATTAACCTTTAAATGTTGTTTGTGCAATTTTTGTTATAAGCTGCCAATCTTATTAACCTTATATAATAATTCTTTATCACTTTTTATGCAGTTTTAAATACAATGTTCAACTTAATTGATAAAAATTTCACTAGTTATTTCTTTAACTATCTCAATATCATATTAAAATCAATAATATTAAATATTAAATATTTAAATTACTATTTCTCAATCAATTAGGGAACTAACACCATCTAGCTTTATATCAATTGAACACAGTCAATTTGTCTGTAACGTATTTCACTCAATATCGCACATAATACCTACGAAATACTCGACCTTGAACATTATCTTTTGCTACCTTAATTGCCACAAACAATACAGAAAATCAAGGTCAAGGACAACAACATTTAAAAAAATCTAAAAAATTTAACATATCTAGCTCTGAACCAATGAACAAAATAGCTAACAATTTCATTTGCGTCTTCAATATATTTGTCGTGTATTCATGAAATAAAGCAATCAAGATTTTCTCGTGGTATCGACATTTCGATTTTCACATTACCTATAATTATTGTATTCGTAATAACAAGAAAAGCTTCTTCTATATTAGTCATTATATTGAAATGAGTCATCTTTGTTTTGTAAAATTAATTTTGTTAGAGAAAATTGTAACATGTCCAGCTTAATGTTGTCTATTTTTGACAGTCAATTAGATCAAAGCAGGTATAATTCAGGTGACAATCTTAAGTAATCTAAGAACACGAATAAAGTTAATAGCACCATGCACCTGCTTATACCACTTACCAAGCTTATATACAAATGTACAAGTAAAATCTATAATGGTATATACACATGAAAGGATGGAATCATGTTTTACATTAAAACGCGCTTCTATATAAGCCGCACCAAACAATTGACTTAACTATGACGTCATACTGCTGTGTTTAATCCTTTCTAAGAAGAAAACAAAATGGTAATGTAAAATATATAAGGTCAAATTTATAAGTACGGCGTAACTGCAAAATGTCTGAAAGTTATTGAACTTAACATGTCAATTTTTATTCACATCTTTTTTCAATGCTTTTATAAAAGCTGACAAAAATTTAACAATGTCATATTCTCTTAAATATAATTCCATCATTTATTTTATTATTTATATTCAGATTTAGATAAATATGAAGATGCGATGAAGATTGTGTTTGATTAAAAACTTTCAAATTATCAAAGAAGTTACGCTAGGATGAATAAAATAATCGACACAAATGTAATTTATGTTACTGTTTGAATGATAAACTAGTTTAATGAAAAGAATTGCATACGGTGCAGAAAATGTAGTTTTCGTAACCCATTAGTCTGTTTGTCCAAAAGTTTAGAAATGTGCCTGTTATCCAACTTAACATCTGCATCAACGAGCGTTCAACAAATCAATTAGTAGACTCAGTTAACGTTTATTGTGGAATGTGAATATAATTATCATGATATATGTTTTTATCATATTTCATACAAATTTTCGCAACTCGATATTTTTTGCTTCTTTCCAAAAACGCCCCTGAATGCTGTCTTGAGCGCCCCGGTTAAACCTTTCTGCTGGCGCTGCTTTTTTGGACCAATCATATTGTCTCTTACATATTCACCATACTGTTTCAGTCTTATCTGACTTAGAAGTCCCGCCAAAAGTTCATCAATATTGTGATTCAGTGCAGCAGACGTTTCAATGTATTTGCAGTTGTAGGAATATGCCAAACTTCTTCCCTCTGAAAGCAAAAATGAGAGCATATGTAAACGTTATGTTAATCAACAAAACTTCCAAGCAACCGCACAATAAATAAATAGAACGCGGACAGTTAAAAAAGAAACGAATAACAACAAATAATGACGAATGTTTGTAAACAATATAACAATTCGTCTAGTTATAGGGAAGTACCATTTTAAATCTAAAGCAACTAGATCCTGTGATACCTTTACACTATGAGCTGTACATTATTATTTAATTACTGTGTCGAATTATTTTTCAGTATTGTACAAATAATTTTGTAGAAAAATGTTAATTTGGATACATATATATATATATATATTTACGTAACCTACCTTCGTAATTTACTTGGCGCTTTCTGGCTAGATCTACTTTGTTTGCAACAATCATTACTGTTTTACTGCTACCACCTTCTTCCTTCAAACGCTTTAACACCTGGCTTGCTGCACGGAAGGAACTCCTGTCAGCGCAGGAATATACAATCATGTAGGCATCAATGTCGTAATCTGCAGGCTCTTCAAGGATTTTCTGTAAAGAGAAAATGTCACATCTGTGCAATATCTGTGTGGAATTAAATTACACGATAACATGAACTGTAACATTATCTTTATTTCTTGTATATATAGAATCTAAGCAATTCTAAGATGAAACTACATTGACGTAACCATGGCGATGTAATAAAGACACTTTCCTGTCAGAAACCTTGCTGCAATTGAAACGATCTTTAGACGTTATTTGATATGATCTTAAGGCCTGTCAATTAAATGTCTTTCAACATGAATACAGTGTCATTATTCCAGCAAGAAGATTATCAATAAATGTCGGGCCACTAACAAGCTTTTGAAAGTATATGTTTCAATTTTTACCAAATCAATTCGTTCAATCAAAGTACACCATCATGTTGTTAGATCTTAAGTTAATAAAACAGGCTGTCAAATATGTTTGTTTTATTATTTTAAAATGAAACCGTTTCTGAAATTCTTTCCCTAAATGAAGGATATTATTTTTAAGGCGCAATGAAGGATATTATATTTAAGGCGCACTTTATCGATGATTTTATTCTCCGTAAAAATCATTTACGTCACATTTCAAAGCAGTTACTTGTTATTGAAAGTTCTATTCTGAAACTTAGCCACTTATTTCCCACACAAGCTTTCTCCTTAAAGTTCAATAACGAAGTTAATTACGACAGTCTCTTTGCCAATTAAGCTTCCTCAAAAATGGCTAATACAGCGCTCCTTATATTCAGCTGATACGTTTAATAAACCAATAGCATCAAGTAAAAAAAATGCATTAAGCTGCCGTTTAATGACTTAACGCCCTATTAAATGTGATAATATGAGATTGACGTCACTTGTTCCCACAAAGTAATAAAATCCGCTATTAGACTTACGATTTAAAGATGTGTAACTTTACAAGCTACATGATGGCAATGCATGTTTACTATAAAAACCTTGGTCAATTTTAACTTCGATTTAATAGTGAAGTACACAGCTTTTTATTTAAAAAAATGTCTAGTTTATCAGCTTTGATAAACGTAGGGAGGTATGTTATCAGCCCTACTAGTGAGGGATTAATCATTAAGGATTCTGATTTCGTGCTTCTTGTGTTTTTCTTTTCATCCTAGAAATGACCATTATTTCCCGTTGGAAAATAAAACAACAACAAATAACAACAAAAGTAAGATACATGACGTCATCATCATGTTTTTGTCTTGCTTTTTCGTGTTATTTACACAGTTTATTCACAAACCACGTATCATGCTGTTAAAATCAAGAAAGTTTTCTCATTATAACAAATGTACCACATGTAAATATTTCACATATTTGCAAAAATGTCTGGGAATTTTCGTAGAATGACGACAAATTCATGATTTAAAAAAAACACACAAAAACAAACAAACACAAAAACCGTAACATATTATCCGCATGGATCGTTAATATTTGATCTTTGATGGGTATATTTATATCTTAGAAACAAAATTAAATGGTTTCTGTTAAAACTTTCCGGAGCAATGCATCATTAAAGCTTAGTGTTTGTCGGTCTTCCCTCTTTATTTAAAGAAACATTTCTATTTTAGTATGAATATTCCGTCGTAAGAAAACTTAGTAATTATTTTGCAAGCAGTCGTGTTGTTAGCAAGTTTGCTTAACGTCTGAAGATTGTAGCGAGGATATGTGGGAGTTAATGATGCCACAATAACCGTGCGTCATCATAGTTTCTTTTGATGAAACTCATTGATAAAGCCCTATAAAATTCTGACATGCCGGCCATTACAACAAGCTCAATAAAATAATATTATTGTTACTAGATTATTTTATTACAGATTTGTTTCGATATGTCTTAATTATATAATTAATTTCCTTATTTATTTTATTTAAATTAAAAATCATATTTTCTGTTCAGCGAAATCTTATTATTCAATTATATTTCACGAATGCAATATAAATCATTATGTTTATCATAACAGTACTTATATCACTTTATTTTATACATTTTGTACCACGGTTCAGAGCACAGATAATTTCCGATTAATTAAACCAGAACCAGGTAACATATGGTATGAATTTAATAACCTATAAATAGACAAACTCTATTATATATACAACCACGCATATTGTATAAAGAATAAAACACTTTTCCTTTGATGTTATACAAAAATAAATTAAGAAATAAACCCATGCTTTCTTAGTACGAGTATTTGTGGTTTACATTGCTTTGTGACAATTTCTCCGTGTAGATCGTACTTATAAACTAACCAAATTTGTACATACGTTGATGGAGTAATCATTAATTTAACCATAACATGTACGGAATAAAACGTTATAAATGCAGTTCATATGCGTTTTGTAATTTTGAGGAAACGAAAATGATATAGAATCGTTTTTAAAAAATATTTGTAATGCAAGTAAATATTCTTATCTAAAATGACGTGGTGTCACAGGTCTTTTCTTTACAAGAGTGAATAAAAATGAATACAAAATTAGAAAAAATATTATTCCAGAGATCTACAATGTTTTAAAAATAACTCAAGCTTAATTTCGCCTTTTTTGGAAGTCATTGAAGTCCCTTGTATTGAAATGATGAAGACATGGTTAATTATATGAACAAAAAGCGTGAATCGCTCGAATCACTGGCACGAAATGAAAGTAATTACGCTATTATGATTGTTAGATGCAACGCACAGGCGCATGGAAGACAAGACAAAAGGCAATGGAAACATCTGGTCGCTATTTCCATGCAAATACTTTCAGTACGTTTGTATTTTAGGTGTGTGTTTTATATTCATAGCGAAAAAAGATCTTAACTAATAAAATGTGTTGCCTTGATTTTTTACATTATAACAATATTCTTTTCGAGACATATTCAGCGGTTCTTGTGATTCTTTAATATATTTATATTCAGGATCAGCTTTTGTTGTAAGAATTAAAACTTCTCAATCATAAATAAAACATATAATACTCTTACATTACACACGTGACTACAGTTTCTCTGAGAAATACCATATAAGGTAGTTATCTCTATAATCAGTTTTATTTCCCTGAGATGCCAAAGAGCTGAATATTTCTTTTTAGTTTTGAGATTTTATTTTTTTATATGATTAAATTAAGATATTTGATCTGTTCAGGCACAACTAATATCTTGATCTAATCAAGTTTTTTTTTTTTAATTTTTTATTTCATGTGTAAATTTATTTTTTTGCGTTTGTTTTATTTGTACTGACAAATAAATGTGTTTTTTATCAAGCTTTTAAGGTGAAGTTAAAACTTATGTCGCCCTCCGTACATTCTTCCTTGTACGAACGGGTACATGAGTAGAACCAACGACTGTCCATAAGGTAACTGGACAATATTCTGTAATGAATTATTCAATCGTGCCTGAGGGTATACGAACCGACATTTATTGTTAATAACTTGTTCTGGTTCATTTGTATAAGTGTTAGGATTTACTTATCAAGGTAATTGATTCTAACAAAAACCTACCATATTGTTTTCTTCTACAAGTTCCATAACAGACTCTTCTTTATTTAGTATCACTGAAACGCTTGTTCTTTGTTCGGCAGAGTCTGAAAATGAATATAGATATTAAAAATATATTAATTTGTTATATTGTTAATGTTTTTATGAATCCGAAAAGTGTTATCAAAAATTGAGGAATGCCGCCGTAAACATTAGCAGGACCGTAATTGCGTGTATGCTCTTGATTAATTACATTCCAAGTTAAATGAATACAATCGAAAATTAATTCTAGTTTTAACAGTGTGAGATAATTTTATTCTAAGGAAGTCATCCATTATTCAGATTAAATGTTATTTGCAAATTACAAAATGGAAGAGGAAAATGAACTGTTTCACGGTAAATCAAAGCAGATCAAACAAGATCGATTAAACAATGTTATATGAATACCAGTTAATTGACTTGTAGGGCGGTATAATGAACATGATAGTGAAAGATTAATTACAACAAGTACTTGGGGAATTACTTATTTTATCACAAATCGGAAATTAATGAAAAGGGGTCAATATCTTGTTGTACGGAACAAATAATTGTCGCTTTTATAACGATGTACAAAAGTGGCAAATATTAAAATCATGAAAATTTGTGAAAGAAATGACTCTTAATACGCTGAAAAGGTATTGATACAAAAAGGAGTATGTAGCTCCAAGATTTGAATACATTGAAATATTTATCGTCTTTAAAATACGTATATTTATTTACTAGCAAACAGCAATGCATTAACATGATGACATTTAAAATATTAAAAATTTATAATAATATAAATATATCATATAATTATTGAAGTAATAAATACCTGTATGGACATCTGATGCACCAAGAAATTCCGACGTCGTGAACTGATTTATAATAGCACTTTTGCCGACGCCGCTTGCACCAAAAACAAGAACCTGATATTCCGACGGGCACTCATCTAAAATAGAGTCCTGAGAGCTATTAAAAGCAAATGTATGTCCAAGTTTTTTATATTCCCTTTCAGTAATACAACTAGTGCGGCGTACCGGCGTGCAGTATGTCGAGGCGAAAGTACTGTTCCTTCTGTTAGACGGCAGTTCCGCGAAAACACTTTCCCGCCGACCGCCAAAGTTGCTACCACAAGCACTTGAAATAGAGATGGAACTATTTCTTCTGTAGCTTGTACTCGAGTACCCACTGTCTCGGCGACTGTCTTTTCTTAAATCACCCATTTTAACAAGTCCTTTCATCGTTGTACTAAATTGCCGAATTCGGACGGACTCGTCTTGGCAGTCTGTTTCTTCGTCCGGATAGCTATTTTGTTCTTTAATTAATCCTTGCAACGGCTCATTTGGAAAAGCCTTTGGAGGGATGTGTATTGCAAGACTTGGTAAACTCTTACTTCTGTTCCGTTGTGGTCTTTTCTCGCCCATTTTTCGAATTGAGCGCGTGTACGAAAGTCCACGTTTTTCTAAGACAATTTTCGGTCTTGCCGCTTTGTCTTCCATCGCGTATTTCTCAGAAATTCTGCAAAGTTCAGCTAATTCCATTCCAGTCCTCAACTCTGGAATTTATCTATTAAATAAATAGGATTAATAAACTACAACTTATTCTATACTGTAAAAGCAGACGACATGTGACAAGTGCTGATCAAATAATAATCTCAGTAACAGTCTATGCTCTATATATACTCCGCGCATTGATCGCATTACTGTTCACGGAATTTTCTTCTATATTTAGAAACACTAGCAGCGCCACCGTTCATTCAGATTGTTTTATACGCTGCTAGCAACAGGTGATGACAGCGACACTCTAGGTCCAAACAATCGATCACTATTACGGGGAAACATTCGCCGAGGAGGTTTTCCGATTCTCTTTTATATGCGTAATGTTTCAGTAGAAAACTTTGTATTGCGCAAGGGTCAAATAAAAAATAATTTTGTCATGATAAATCGTGTTGAATCACTCATTACAAATTCATTTGCCAGATTGTAAAAAACTATGCCCTGAAAATGTAGGCGAACATCGGGTTTCTCAGGCGTTGTCAATTGTACAATTGCTCAAATAACTCTTATTAAGGCTTTTAGAACAAAGTAATTAAGGAATGCAGCAGATCTATAGCGACAATTTGTTGCTATTTAAAATAAGAAAGTATGACAATAACGAATCATAGAGTATATTCTATGAAGTATTAATTCAAAAACGAGCAATCACTGTGGGTGGAGTAACACATTAAGAGACAATATACTATTTTGTATGACAGATTTTATTGTGTTGACAGTGAGATTTTCACTACAATAAATTTGTATACTATTTCCTTTAATATCGCTACTCCTTTTACCTTACAGTCTGTCCGGATATCTTTGTATATAAAACAGAAATAATGGACACTATTATTCGCATTAATTCTCCAACGTTTTCTATTTCATCTGCATGTGTTACATGATAAATTATTAGTAACTTAAATCAATTTAATAACTTAAAGTTGCAGTCAATGCGCATAAAATTCAGATATAGATAAGTTTCTTGTTTAGCTAATGTAAGAGAGACAACTCTCGCATACTTAAATTATTACGTTTTACAAGAAATAGTGAGTAATATTTGCCTTTATATATACATGTACTAATATATATCCAATACTTGTTTTATACGATAAAAGTATTGTTGTTTTGTTTGAGCAATGGAATAATTGATGGATAACAGTAAGACCGATGTTAATATCACGTATATTTCATTTGTATCATGTATATTTTCGTACTATGAAGTTTCTAAGGGCGTTGTCATTTTTGATTAAAAAATACATCATTCAACTTGTTGTTAAACAATTCTAACAGATACCTATTATTATTCTCACCACACCTATGACGTCATTGTGTTTTTTTTAAGAAAAATGCATAACAAAACAAAATATGATAATTAGTCCTCAAAAGATTCAAGCTTAACAACGTTATTGTATGATATAGTACAACTAATAACAATGAAAAAATAAACAAAGAGATGCGTCAATTATTGAAATTGAAAAGAAAACCTAGATTCAAATTTGAATTCCTGAACACATGAACCTGATGTAAAGGACACAGTGCTATAATAGTATGTCTTTTGTCGGTGCTACAAATTACATTATAAGAAATGCAATATAAAATACAAATTAGAAAAAAAAAAAAAAAAAAAAGAAAACAATACTGATAAAAGATGATCTTAATCTTCCCGAATACTATGCACTTGTGCCTACTTTTCCAAAAGGTTCAGTAAAATATGGGAATGGACAATTTGAGATGCAGTTTGTCTTAAACGAACCTTAAGTTATGGAGAAAGATAAAAAGTTGTAAAGAAGTATATATTTTCTCAATCTATTTATACTACTAGTATAAATTTACGAAAGGTATATGAGACATTGGTCGTTAAAGGTCAATTTTTAAAGCATCAAAAAGGGCTGAATCCCCGTAAAAGTATAGTTATTCAATTTCTAATTCAATGACAATTAAATCTTAAATTATAATTTGTCTTTTTATTCAAAATATGTTTAAACTCGCGCCCTTTTGTTTATGTATTTAGAAACTTTGAGTTATATATTGAAAAAGATAATTAATCATGATTTAGTAACTTACAGTAACTACTGAAATAGGCAGACATTGAAACAATTTACATGACAAAGAAGAGTTTTTAATGCATTCATAAACTTTTGTACTTTTACCAAATAATTATTATTTTATTTGTTTTCATACAATTCTATTTTTAAATTATTTTATCAATTATTGAACATTATATGACATCACGACACACAGTGTTTCTGTTATTTGTTTATACTGTGTTTGACTCAATCATGATTATTCCAGTTCGTCAGCTTTTTCAATATTCATAATGCAATGCTCACACGGAGATATCGCAATTCATAAACAAACAATCAGTAAAAAAAACTTTTACTATGTACACAGGCAATGAAGGCGTTTATCACGTAGTATCTAATGGTTTTGTTTTTTATGTCATGAAAATATTTATTCGTTTGAGTATTGCTACTATTTATATATCTTTGCTGAAATAGTAACAACAAGGTTGAAAAAAAAATCTGAAAAAGGGGGTGATAAAACAGTATACATGTATACAATATTATTAAAAAATAATATTCCGTTTGATTCATTTAAATAAAATCTGCAAATATCGTTTTACAAAATAATGTTCTTTTTTTATTTGGTTTTATTTTATAAGTTACATATACTGAGTCATCTATTTTGAACGCCGCAATTTTATTCGAATTTAATTCTAATTTAGGTATAAATCATAATTATAATAATATAATAATACATTCATTGGATTAAATTCGAAAATGATAAGCATAACTTGAAGAGTGTTACTATAATTATGATAGGTTGGTTTTACAATATGTGGTGTCGTTAGCAACATGTTCCTATGCACTAACACACCAAACATGATTTTATCTTAATATAGATCTGTTAAGCCTATAACTAAATTAGAAATAATAATCCCCATTCATTAACAAAATAATCAAAAATAGAAAAACCTCATAAAAAAATTATCATGTTAAACAAAGGATATATGAATGAAACACCGCATGATGTTGATTAAATGCATGAAAAACAATAATAGATTGACAGCCGTCATACTGTTACCCGAATTAAAGTAGCAGTTTTATTGACAACATTGATCATGGTTAATAAAATAACCACAGTGTGTCAGATAGGGTGCGCTAATCATGCCATACACAGCTAGCTTTTCACAAGTTTACAAGTACACCCCTTATCCTGCTGATTCCCAATCTCACGACCACTCCTGACAAATTAATGAGTTCAAAATTAGGTTAAAAAGTATTTTAGACAATTGATAAAAATAAATCTGCAGATCGAATATTTAAAAATTACAATACTTACTGTGTATTACAATTTGAATTGCTGTGGCAATGTGACAGTGGAATTGAATTTTAGTAGCAAAGTGGCAGTGTATCTCAAAGTAGATTAACGAATAGCACCGACTGTATCAAATTAGCAGCTCATGATTCCGTACAAATAATTAGTATATTATAAGATGTCAAATAAAATAATCTGTTTTTTTTGCAGCTTATACGCAAGTACTTGAAAATTATTAGTTTTTATTACGTCATATAAAGATTCGAAATGTTAACACTTTATACAACAGGATTTGTATACGGCCCCTAATTTCCAAATCTAAGCATTAACTAGGTTTCGACATTTGCTTTTTTTTTGCATTAACGTAAATCTCAATCTGACCTATATCTAGTTTCCCAAATTGCTGTTTTTGTTTGTAGGAAACTTACCTATTGGTCTCTTACTAATTACGTTCATTCTAAATGCAGTTTTCAATTATGTGCCGTTTGTGCGTGTAGTTTGTTTGAGACGCATTTGTTTACATTTTAATAACAAAAACATTGACAAGTGTTTAGCAATTCTAAAGACTTAAAGATTACTGGCATTTCTGTGCCTGCGTAACCTTTGCCAAACTCATACAAAGAAATTTACATTCCAGACGAGTTATGAATGAAAGTGTGAAACAAAACTTGCTACGAAAAAGAAACACCAGTTTATGTAGACTGATGTAACATAGAATTGTGTCTTACGAATATTTTAAGAGCTATGATTACATCGTTGTCACACAATGCAATCAGAAGCCTACCAAACGAGTCTAATCAATTTATAAAGCTCGGGAAAATTCTCGGGAAAATAAATTGTTCTCTTGCAATGCTTTGGGGTTCAATATAGAATTAAAGCGGCCCTTGAATATTGTACAAGAGCATAGAAATATAAATATAGAATAAACAATCTCCTGCTCACTTTAAATAGATAATATCAATTTACTGCAGCATTGATTTTATATTGTTACAACTATGAATGGTCGTTAAGAATACATAAATGTATGAAAATATTATATGAAATTGATGACAATAGAAGCATCATTCAATGAGGGTTTTTTTCATTTTGGAATTTTCATATCAGATTCTAAAATTAAGTTTAGCTATTGCAATTCATTTCAAAAAGAGAAATTAGTAACTAAAAGGGATGAATACACCAAAACATAAAATGAACATTTCAAATTTAAGGCATTAAAACAAATTTTGATAAAAATAAGATAAGGAATAATGGTTAATGTATAAAAAGAGATACAAATTTTCTATATAGAGATAGAGATCGGCTTAATTAACATTTACAATTTATAATGTGTGTAATTTGTGATTTATCATAAGCATTGAGTTGTAATTTGCAACTTACAATAAGTTGTTATTTGTAACTGTCAATAATTTGTAATTTGTTACTTACAATCAGTTATAACTTGTAATATACAGAAAGTTGTATTTCAATTCTTACAATACAGTTATCACTTGTAACGTACATTAAGTTGCAATTTGTACCTTGATTTAAAAACCTTAAAATATGAGCCTGATTCGTGTTATAAAATTTTCCTTTCAAAATCTTATAATCATCAAAATACATGTTTTCTATTGACTGGAATGGAACGGTATATATCAAACACATACACTGTTTTTGACACATTGATTTGTTTGTTTATTTTAGGTAAGTTTCCATGTTTATTTTTGTTATGCTGAGTGTTTACAAACATGCATTAACGTCATATGGTCAATTTCCGTACATATTGTCATTTACATACAACTTATTTATATGACAGGGGACATTCATATAACCTTACACCAAA